ACTTGGTCATCTCAAGCACTTCGCTACGTGAGTTCCCGCTTGGCGACGTCAACTTTTGTCTCATCTTGCAAGGGTAACGATGCCATAGCACAGACTCACCTGTCTATCCAGTTTCACAACAACAACGACTTACAGTTACATAGTTGAAGGATGGGGTTATATCCACTTGTGAGAAATTTCATGTACAGTGGGCGACGGAAAAATGTCCCCAGTGGTACTTCAGAAATATCTTGAAATTTGTATGCGGAATAAAATTAGCCTCAATGAGAATTGGCAGTATTTTTATTCAAGCTGTATTTATTGAAGAGCAATATCAACGATGATTGGTAGAAATTGATCATTTAATTCTCAGCTACGACCACGACGACCAGCAACAAATACTGCAATTTTTCAGAAAACCAAAAATATTTCGAAAATGTAAAATATTTTCAAGTGACAAGCTATACTACAAGAGAGTTCATGGCAAGGCATTTTCACATGAGCGAGTGACGGTCTCAAATGGCATGTCCTCCCAGGCTTTAATAGTGCGCTTAACCATATCCATGCGTTTTTCAGCTGCAGCGACAACCGGCTTTTCGTGACGCCACTAGTAACGAAGATTGCTCTTGGTCAATTATATAAACAATGGACTAGTAAATATTAAAAAAAATTTTTAAAAAATACACCGTATAATATTCAATGGCCCATGACAACAACATCCGATTCCAATGGTGTATGTGGTGTAAGCCATGGCTCGACGTTGATATAAAGGACGAGGTTTAGCGGGACTTCAAACCAACCAGAAATTTTCGAGGAACCAGTCAAAATAATTCTTACGCCCTCAAAAAGAAGAAAAATTGCCTTTGCGTTCCTGGTATATCAACAGGCATGAGTGTTTTGGAGGACAAAATACGTTGAACGTCAGTGAACAATAGTTTATTGTGACCTCGCGTTGGGTAAGGGCCATAAGGATACCACAACGGACATTATGTGGTTTCAATGCACACTGACTATACGGCATAACTGTACATCCACGTCACGGAATGAACCCAGTACATCTCGGGCTCGAGCGGGAGCACTACGGTACGAGCAATTATTCTTATTGTTTGGGAAGTTGTTGTTGTATTGAATGTCCCAACGTGGGACGGTTTGCATGACACAATGTCATTATATTGGATTATTGCGATATATTGTTTCAACGAGGTTAAAGTGAGCAGGTTCATGCCATTGTACGATAGTATATCCAAGGCAAATCATGCATGATATCATGTACTAGGTCGTAGAAGTACTTGTCACCCATTGGTTAAAAATATTACAATTTCTTCGGGCAGATTGCATGAAGTACCACTGGGGACATTTTTCTGTCGTTCCCTGTACTACATTTATTTATGCTCCTGAACTTCGAAGTACTTCGAAGAATATCTGATACGCCATGTAAAATTCGTTTATAGAGGTTTTCTGTGAATTATCCCCATGATTGGAGAAAAGTATTTGTTGCCTCTTGACAAATGTAATACTCCGTATAGTAGATCTGAACACACTACTAGTAGTTCACGATGACAATACTGTACAGTACCATGTGACCACTAGTACCTACTAGTACTACTTTGATACAGGGATGGATAAGACCTTACTACTTTTCAGAGGAAAAAGGATTATTGAATAAAAACTAAAAACCACAAAACCTCATTTGTGAGTACTATAGAACCTTAGGTTGTATGTATTCTGCACTCTGGTCCTCCTCACTCCCCAACTCATAGAATTCGCTGCTCGATGGATCATCATCGCCCTCGTCGTGCAGGCGTGGTGTTTCGCTCTGAGACACTTGACATCGCCATGCTGAAAGTGTAATGGCGATCAGCCGCAGCTCGGGCCAGTACTTGCCACTCGCGGCGCACGTCGTCATTGGAGAACTCGAACAGGATGTTGCCAGACATATCGACTCCAATGTTTTAACGAACATAAGGTATCCTTGTTTACATTATAACCTTATTATAACCGTCCGTTTTGGGGCCACAAGGAATTCAGGTTTTAAAGTAAAACCTTTCATTACTAGGTTTAAAAAGCCATCCCTG